TGAGGGTGGTTTTTACATTGTCTTATATTAGGAAATTCCCGGGATGAGTGTTCGCGGTAGCTTTTGAGAAGTGTCGTTATATACAACAGGTCGAAAAGAATGGACATTCTAGTTTTTCAAACTAGGTGAATGCAAAAACGAGTGGTGGTTTTATGAGAGTGGTCACTAACAGATGTTTTAATATATATAATAATTATAATGCACCCTATATATAAAAGGTAGATATTTATTTATATTATCAGCAGCTAAATGTACAACTAATTACACAATCCTTATACTACGATGTTGTTTAGTTGACCAAAAACAACGGAAATACACATTTCTATATGTGAAATCCAATACAACTGACCAGTCAAATAATAGTAAAAATACAGCAAATTTATATTTATTAATTTATATTTATCTATATATATGTGCGATACGTCGCCGTTGCGGCGTTCTGAGAACCAAATGAAGTGGATATTTATATATGGTTTCCCCGAATCGCGTACAGGTATTCCTTGAAGAGGGTTATAGGTAAATTGGACAATCACAAAAGCATAATAATTTATTATTAAATAATGATAGATAACACTCTAGAATTGCAAGATGTTATTTAGAAACATTTTGATCGAATGTCACCAGTCAATTAAGAAGTGGCTATTTGACGTCAACACTATTGGTACCAAACAAAAAAATATATATAACGTATCCAATTTATTGAATATATCTTCCTAATAACCGCCAATAAACTAATACTCGGTTTAAAAAATGTTAAAAGCTTTAGCACATTTATTTTAAACAAATCAATTGTAAGATAACGATGTGATACAAACATCTTTTAACAATTCATTTTACGGGAAATCTATTATACTTAATTCATCGCAATAGAGGCAACCGGAACCGGAATCGTAAAGAAAGATAAAAGAGAAAACTCTCCTCTCTTTTTGATACCCCAAATTCTCTAATATCTTTATTAACAGCAGGTAAGTAAATTTTTAAATAATTTTTATTTTATTAAAATAAATTTTAATTTTTAAAACGCTATGTCCTAGTATCATTCTATATTTTTTTTGGCAATAACCTACCACCAACAGGTTGCTAACAAAATCGATATTTCTTTTTATATAGAGAAGCAAGGTGTTATCTTCATTGCTTTTTCGAACAACTCGGTACTTAGATTGATAAAATTATCTTAGCATGTGGAATAAACTCAACAGAAAATACGCAGATTGTTGAAATGAAAATGATAAAAATCCAAAATTGTTATGTAGAAATCATTTCATAAATCGAAAAATATTTTTGCCAATGTACTCATTTTGTTGGCTCTAAACCACGAGATCTAGGAGAGACATATAACCAAGTATTTTTTAGACCTTGTTCACTTCGGTTTTGGACGAAAGTATCCGACCATGATTGTTAAAGATCACGAATACCGATTGCATAAAAGATTCGAGACGAGGAGTGCCTGGAGTTGCACTTTCGAAGGGAAAACCAGATGTAAATCCAGGATGATGTCTTTCGGAAAAACAATCCGACTCAATCGCATCGCACACAACCATCCGCCTCGGCAAAAAGAAAATCTTGCCCTATATTCGAGTCAGTTATTTAAGATAGAATACGCGTCATCCAGATTGTAATTTTCATTTAGTTCACAAATAGCAATAAAATCTCTGCGAATCCAAAAAAAAAAGGAAATGTTTTTTGAGCCAGTTATTTAAGATAGATTAAGTTTTATCCAGATTGTAATTTAAGTTTAGTTGACAAACAGCAACAAAAATTCTGCATAACATGAAACTATCTCACTTGAAATAGAGATTTTTGGGCTGATTTTTTGGTATTGCCCACTCAATAAAGTTGGCTCGACAAATTCGTTATATTTCAAGCACGGTTTATAATGCTAATTAAAATAAAACACAAACGAACGGGTCGTAAACTAGGTCATGCTTGCCGAAGAAGCGTGTAATTAGCAGAAATTCGACTATTTAAGGATATCCCATCTAAGCGACGAGGAGCCATTGCCATCTTTCGTTGGTTAACAACCTGGGAAGGCCGATAGCCATTGCCTTTCAATTATCAAAATAATGCAAATATGTGATCCAATTTTAGACAACCTTTTTGCGACAAATTAATTCTCACTGCAGATTTCGAAAGTATCATTTTCGTGGTTAAAAGACGCTTTATGAAGTTAATATCACGTCTTTTAAGAAAAGATTCAAAAATAGGTTAAATTTAAAAAAAAATACAATACGAAATATGACAACAATTCAAATAACCACTTCCAAATTCAAACCCCATCAAAATGTACAGCTGGAAGAATCTCTATTCTTTTGCTTCTTTGTTTATATTTCTGATACTGGGAATACATGGAATACATGGGAAAAGATGTTTTTAAATTACTAAACGGCGATAAAACTGTAATTTGTGGACCTCAGTCCAGTTTGATGTTTTTGACAGACATGCGTTTACCCTCCCCAGATTTTCATAATCTACCTATATGACCGGATGGCCTTCTCTTAATTTTAAGAACCCAACTGATTAAAAAATAAAGATTTTTATTCAATTGCGTGTTTCTTGATCTACCTACTTTAGCCGAATCACATTCAGAGTTTAAGGAAGAATGTTCTGTTCTGTCGACATTCGACAAAGACTTTAAAACAGACCATCGAAACAGGGCTGCCAAGATTGAGTTTGTTATAATTAGTTGGTTTTTCGTGGCTTCTATGGCTTCACTTTCAATTTAAAAAATGTGTTAGATGATAGTCATCATGTTTATATCATACTACCCAATATTAACCAAAGTTGTTGCGGATTTTGCAAAATAATTAAATTTATTTTAGGCGTGGTTTATTTCGCACCAGGGAGGAAAAATCCGATTATGGTAATAAACCATTACGAATTTAAACTGAAACAACGCTCGGCAACCAAAAATCTTTGGACATGTATCGCTGAACAAAGGCAGAAATGTAAAGCCAGGCTGATGTCTTCGGGAAAAACCATTAGAATTAAGGATCTTTCTCACACACACGAGCCGACATTTAAGGGAGACCTCCGACGGCTCGCATGTAAAATGTTTCAGTTTGAGTACCAGAATTATAGACCCTATAGTTAATTTGATATTTTCATTAAAGTCAATGATTTGTTTACCTTTTTATATTGTTTCTGCTATCCTTATTGATCATAGTAGAATCCCAATAATAAGATGGTTCAAAATATGTGATTTAAGAAATAGTTATAATATTTCTCCTAAATGAAACATGTTGATTATGGTACAAATGCTCGGAAAGTAAGTAATTTTGCACTTTAATAAATTTAAAACATCCTAAGGCTTAATGCCAAAAATCTGGAGCTATTGATGGATTCCGATTTTAACCGCGAAGGATGGTTTCAAACTCCATAAATCTGATGGGATTCGTTGCAAACGCAAACAAAAACGTCTGAAACGTGCGATTAAATGTTTCGTTATCCGTAATATAAGCGGCTGCTCGGTGAACGTGTTTTAAATCAAATAAAGTTTAGTATATGAAGAATTGTAGGTGTTGAAATTGCGAGAAGAAAGTAAATTAAAAATAAGTTACTGAATATATCTAGTTAACCTTTCCTGTAGTTTTAGGTACGGTCTATGTTGCTCCTGGACGTAAATATCCAAAAATGATATTAGATAATTACGAGTACAAGCTACAATTTAGGACCGAAGCCAAAAGCATTTGGAGATGTACCCAAGCGGCGAATCTATGCAAAGCGAAGTTCATGTCGTTCGGAAAAACTATCAGAATTAAATCTTCTGTTGGCCATAACCATAAACCAACATTCCGTGGAAATTATTCCGCTTTACATTACCAGAAAGTCCAAATAGAGTACTCTGCGGATCTGAGAGATTAAATGAATATAGAAATAACATATTGTATTTCTTATTATCAATAAACTTTTCAAAAAAATGTTTTTTATTTACTTTAGCTCACTGTTTACCCAAAGCTTTCTGAGAGAATAACAATTTGCTATTCATATTTAGTACATACTTATTGATATGGAAGTGTATCTTGCTCACACTTTCAACTATTAATAAAGCCAGCAACCAGAGAAATAAAATCAATAAGTTTTCCATTTGCAAAAGTCATCACACGAGACTTTGATATCTAATCATTTACAAAGGTAAAATTCACGTATTTGAATGATTAATACAATTGAATATAGGGAAACCTTAACAAAAATGATAGGAGGACTAATTTAATTTAAACTTCCTCAAGTTGGCAAGACTTTTTAAAATACCCCGTATGAAGCAACTGCTTACATGCTTTATTTAACTGTTAGTGACTTCAGTCCATAATTGAAGTTATAAAGGGTGCAGATGTAAAGTTATAGGATATAATTCGATAGCATATGTTATGAAATATTTTCTATTTTTCCCTAAGTACTCAATGTCGCATTCAAATTCATTAATTAACGCGTAATATATACATTTCTTGTAGCAGTGACAGTGTGCAAAAATTTTATAGGGGGTTGCATTTAAAAAAATACATGCGGTTTGAATGAAAATATTTTTATATGGAACACAATTTTTCGGAATAATGCTAAATAAAGGAGATGTTGTACTTTGTGATATTATTGGGCCGCCACTGATATTAAATAAAAAAACAACTCACGGAATTTGTCTTAACTGCGAACACATTTACTAATTTCGTTGTATTATGTTGCCTAAAAAATATTCAAGGCAGCGCAGTAATACCCGAAAGAAGGGACTACTGAGTAAGGCTGTTAACGGCGGTAGATCAAATCTGTTAGTTTTGGTTAGTTTATGAATGGCATATAATCAAAGTTGTTGAGGTCGAAGGCCCAGTGGTTTATTAGAATTCAACCCACTGATGCTATGACTCCGGGGAATTACGAACCTAAAGAATACAAGAAAAGGCGTTCTAATTTTATATTTTGCCCCGTATTTGTTTTAATGTGATTCAATTGGAATGATTTATGACTGCGATCGGTGCACTATATAACATGTATAAATTATAGTTTGTTTTAAGGTGTCATATATTTTACCGCTGGAAGAAAGTATCCACTGATGATTTTAGAAGATTACGAATACAAGTTGAAAACCAGGAATGCGAACAAGAGTTTGTGGAGATGCACCCAGGAAGCCAAATACAGGTGCAAAGCGAAGGCGATGACGTTTGGCAAAACCGTCAGAATCAAATCGTCTGTCGGTCATACCCACTCCGCAACTTTCACTGGAAATCGCGACAACTTAATGTCACAACAGGTCACCATCGAATATTGTAAATACCTTAAATAAACTACATCAAGTAATGACTGACGTGACTTTTGCAAGATCCATAAACATATAGAGGCGTAACTGATATACCAACCAACATAAAAAATAGTGTTGACATTCAATATGCGCATTTGGAAAATTGACTTCTCATTCTTTAAAAAGTTATCAAGTGAGAAGGGGGCTTTGGTACTGGACGGAATTTTTGAAAATAGGGCTCGTTATGAGAGGAGACGCTTGCTTATTAAAATAAAAACAAGTTCACTATTTTTTAATTTATAACAATAGCAAAAATATTCAGACACTCTTTTATGCCGAACATTAGATAGATTACGTTTTACTTGTGTTGCGGCAATTACAATACAAACACCATGTTTTTAGGGACGATCCATTTTACGAAAGGTAGAAAAAATCCAATAATGATAATAGATGAATACGAATTCCGTTTAAAGCACCGATCAGTTCGCCAAAATCTTTGGTGCTGCACCCAGGAAACTAAGCGGAAATGTAAAGCTAGGCTTATATCATATGGAAAGTCTATTAAGGTTAAGAGCTCTGTTGAACACAATCATCCTCCGACATTCAAGGGCGAATACACCGACTTGATACCTCAAATCGTTAACATGGAAAATGTTCAGCATTTTAAGTTTTCCCGTTAAAAGCTACAATTTCACCCTGTAGAATATTAATAAAATGCATCTCATTTAAAAGGCCATTTTTACAATATTTTTGCCTAAATGTTAGAATTACAGCATAAATTGTGAACTTTTTTAGGTAACCGCACATAAATTTTTATTTTTTTTTAGGTACCGTGTTTTTTTTACCAGGGAAAAAGCATCCAAGAATGGTCTTAGATGGATACGAATTTAATATTGCCAAGAAATTGGTCGCCAGCTCCATCTGGCGGTGCGTTCGGGAAAGTAAGAGATGCAAGTCGCGATTGAAATCATTTGGCAAGACCGTACAAGTGAAAGCCAGTCACAACCATCCGCCGACGTTCATTGGATCCTACTCCAACTTGAAATCTCAAATTGTTGCATTGGAATATACGGATTCCTAAATTATTGCACTCCGCGTTTTAGTTCTATTTTAATCTTGAGCCAATAAAGAACAACTTTATTACGAATTCCACTTTTAAATTCAATTATAGGACGGAACAAATAGATAGAGTAGTAAAATAAAATTTAATCACGTATTGAAATATTTTAACTAACGTTTCTTTTGTTAAAATAAAACTTGTTACTAGTCCTAATTGAACAATCACCTAAATAAGTATCCAAACATCTAAATAAGTATAAAAAAAATTATTTCTTAATATTTAACATATAAATTACAGTACATAAAAATTTAGTTAGCTTTGGTTAGTATAAGTAAACATTAAAGTTTTAAATTGATTTATAGACGGGTGAAGCACTCAATTTTAACAAAAATAAAAACTATTAGAAATATAGCAGAACAGGCATATTTAAAATTATTAATTTCACTTTTTTTCTTTTATTTGAATCACGGTGAGCAAATTGTAACGCAATTTGCCGGTAGAATTTGGACAGGAATTTGAAAAAGTTAATATTTAAACAAAACTTCTATTTTTTGTAAAATAATATTGCCTTGCTATTTTACAAAAAAAAATTAACACGTTCTCTAATTATATCACACCATCTACAAAATTTGTTAATTTTTTTGTTGGAAGAAGTTCCACCCTAAAGTGAAAAACTATATCTGGCAGAAATTGGAATAGTTAATGGAACCTTCGTTTCCTTACTTCTCAAATAACTCCCAATGATTTGGCACATCGATTTTAAAGTTTTTTGATCTTATGCAACATTCATGAAAATTTTTGTTTTACACTAATGTGCCACCATGTAGGTACATATATATAGATTCACTAGATATCAAGGGCCACAGACGTTTTTAAAAAGCATAAACTGCTTATACGATGGTAGAAATATGCCTTCCAAAAAATTTTAAGAATACCATGTGAACTGAAAGTCGTACAAGTTTAAGAAATTCTCTTAAACAACTCGATTAAAGATGAAGAAAAACAATCACACATTAATACTGTTTAAACGGAACATTTGCCATGGAGCCTAACAAATCACAAATTCATTTTTTTATATAACTACGAAATTTTGAACCCTGTTTTTTAGGGACGATCCATTTTAAGTAAGATCGAAAGGATCGATAATAAGATTTCCCATTAGAAACTACTAATTTTATGCTGTGGAATATCAATAAATTCTATCTAATTTTAGGCCATTTTCTACAACCCATACATAAATTTTTATTTTTTTTTAGGTACGGTGTTTTTTTTACTAGGGAAAAAGCATCCAAGAATGGTTTTAGATGGATACGAATTTAATATTTCGAAAAAATTGGTAGCCAGCTCGATCTGGCGGTGCGTTCGGCAGATTAAGGGGTGCAAGTCGAGATTGAAATCATTTGGAAAGACCGTACAAATTAAAGGCAGTCACAATCATCCACCGACGTTTATTGGATCGTACTCCAACTTGAAATCCCAAATTGTTACATTGCAATATGGAAATTCCTAAATTGTTGCACTCGGCGTTTTTGTTCTATTTTTTTCTTAGACCAATAAAAAAACTGTATTGCTAATTCTACTTTTATATTCGATTACATGCGGCGGAACCTGGGAATATCAATTTATTTTTGTAACTGCTTCTATAGCTGATAATTAAAGATATTTAATACTTTATTGAAATATTTTTTTTTTGTAAAATATGACTTATTACTCGTTTTAGTTAAATAATAATGTAATAAAGTGTACATCTAAACGGTTTTCACAATTCACAATGAAATTATGTTCGGTCAAGAAATGTGTCAACTTTTTAAAAAAAATATCCGTATATAGAACTTTAGTTATTTTTGGTTATTATTATAGTAATGTTAAAGTTATTTAAAAATAGATAACGAAAAAATCACCTTCTAATACGATTGGTGTCAGTAAAAATAACAACTATTATAAAGAAAATAGAAGTAAACAACACACATATATTCAAAACTGTTAACTAGAGTTTCTTTCTTTTATTCGATTCATGGATAGTACGGTGTTTTTTTTACTAGGGAAAAAGCATCCAAGAATGGTTTTAGATGGATACGAATTTAATATTTCGAAAAAATTGGTAGCCAGCTCGATCTGGCGGTGCGTTCGGCAGATTAAGGGGTGCAAGTCGAGATTGAAATCATTTGGAAAGACCGTACAAATTAAAGGCAGTCACAATCATCCACCGACGTTTATTGGATCGTACTCCAACTTGAAATCCCAAATTGTTACATTGCAATATGGAAATTCCTAAATTGTTGCACTCGGCGTTTTTGTTCTATTTTTTTTCTTAGACCAATAAAAAAACTGTATTGCTAATTCTACTTTTATATTCGATTACATGCGGCGGAACCTGGGAATATCAATTTATTTTTGTAACTGCTTCTATAGCTGATAATTAAAGATATTTAATACTTTATTGAAATATTTTTTTTTGTAAAATATGACTTATTACTCGTTTTAGTTAAATAATAATGTAATAAAGTGTACATCTAAACGGTTTTCACAATTCACAATGAAATTATGTTCGGTCAAGAAATGTGTCAACTTTTTAAAAAAAATATCCGTATATAGAACTTTAGTTATTTTTGGTTATTATTATAGTAATGTTAAAGTTATTTAAAAATAGATAACGAAAAAATCACCTTCTAATACGATTGGTGTCAGTAAAAATAACAACTATTATAAAGAAAATAGAAGTAAACAACACACATATATTCAAAATTGTTAACTAGAGTTTCTTTCTTTTATTCGATTCATGGATAGTAATTTCCTGGCAACAAAAAATTGCAGGGCTCCAATTGTTTGTTTATTTTCGTCTGGACTTATCTGCATATTTTACCAAATTAAAACAAACAAAAAAATCACTTTAATTCTACAATATTTAAGTTTATTTTATATTCACGGGCTTACATATAAATAATAAATGTAGAGAAACTTGAAACGATAGTTATAGTTTAAAATTTGTTGGCCACTTGGCAGGAATTTAGGGAACCTCCTGCATAAGAAAATTACTTAGACACTCTAGTAAACTCTTGGAATATCTATTGATGCTACGGGTAGGAAAATAGATGTGGAAGATTATAGGAAGGCATTTTTTCTGATTTTGTGATTCAAATTCAAATATAGTTACGGTGTGATATAAACATTTCTTATAGGAATCCTAATATGCAAAAATATGTATGTTCAATTTAAAATAGTGGTAATGTTTGGAAAATCCTGTCGAATAAGTTCCTATTTCCGCCGTTACTAACTAACATGGTGCTATAAAGGTCGAGATAAAACAATCAGAGGTTAATCTTATTAAAACAGAACATCTTTTTGATTTTTTGAAAGGCTTAGAAAAAAGAGCCAGAATAGAGGTTTCCCAATTCTTCGTTCAAATATCTTGGTTCCACTTTTCGTTGCCGAGTTATTGCCACTAAAATACTTCTAAACGAATTGATTAAAAATTTAAATGATAAGGCGTCAGATTTTCCGAATAACTGTAAATAAATTTTGAACTCTTTTAGGTACGGTGTTTTTTTTATCGGGGAAAAAGCGCCCAAGAATGGTTTTCGATGGATACGAATTTATGATTGCCAAAAAATTGGAAGGCAGCTCGCTCTGGCGGTGCGTTCGGGAAAGCAAGAGGTGCAAATCGAGATTGAAATCATTTGGCAAAACTGTGCAAGTAAAAGCTAATCACAACCATTCACCGACGTTCACTGGATCGTACTCTAACTTGAAATCCCAAACAGTTACATTGGAATATGCGGATTCCTAAATTATTGCAGCTTACATTTTTGTACTATTTTGGTACAATAAACAAGAAACCACCTTGATCATTTCCGTGGCAATTAATAATAAACAAAAAAAAAATAGAGCAAAACAGATCACTGACCGTGGAATGAAATTTTCTGTAATTCCTCGGAAATTTTAGAGGAATTCTTTCTTACCGTACACCAGAATTCCTCGCCGAGGTGCTTTCTGTATTTTGAAGATTTATGGAAGTATTATAGCTAGTTCTTCTTTTGTTCAAATAAGACTCATTCGGTCTAATTAAGCAATAATATAATAAAATAAAATATTTCATCTGTGTATCTAAGCGGCTTTCGCAATTTTATTTTTTTTTAGTTTTTAAATTGAATTAAAATACTTATACACACAATTCTTTGCAAAACTTTTTAGAGTTTAAGATATCTAAAAACTGTCTAGCGATAATTTAAAATTATTAGAAAATTACCGAAATTCTTTGTTACTTCACCTGTAACAACACTTGCCTTTCTACTCTGGCTTCTTGTAAATCGAAACTCTTTCAATGATGATAAATTAATGATTAAATTTAAATGACGTCATTTTCTTTTTTATGTAAACTCACAGAGACTTCTTTTTTTTAATCATTGTGGTTTATATCTGTCAATGCCGGTTTTGGTTATGTCTTTCAGACTGAAAGACATATAACAAATAATATATAACAACACAAATCAATGTCAAAATTGACATTGATTTGTTATAACTATAAACTTGAAGATGAATATCTTGGTTTTTTTTAGTGGAAAATGATAAAGCTATAAAATAGAATCCTTCTGGAGCTTCACATGCAAGACCAGCCATACAACAATGATAAATATGCCTGTATACGGTTTGGATAAGGATCATTACCAAAATATAAATAATATAAGAAATATGTTATTTGAAACCAGCGTGACATCGTTTTAGAAACACGCTAGATATCCGTAACAACATTATCTATCTGCTTTTTTAAATAGTGTAAACAAATATTTTTTGTATGAAATTTAAGATGTGTGTATTTATATTTGTCATAGGCATAAAGCAATTCTTAGCATATAGTTATTTGCGCAAACATTTAATTCCAAAAACGGAGAAACAATAGCTAACCAAATTATTAATGTTTAGGCAAAAGTAAAGTCACAAGGATGAGAACCCGTCCCATATCAGTCTTTTTACTACTTTTACTATATTTGTCATGTCTTAACAACAAATCGATATCGCTATTTCATCTGATAAAAAAAACTTGTAATGAGATGTCCTAACTTAAATTAATTGGTTTTCAGTTGCAGAATATAAACCAGCCTCAAGTCTTTTTAAACGCTCTCTAATAAACAAAACTTTACAGGTCAAACAACTTAACGATAAAACTTTCATTTAATAAATATCGAATGAAACTAGAAAGTATTATTTCCCGTATTCTGCGAAAACACGAAAAAATAGGCAAGTTCGTGGAATTAAGCTAAAAAATATGTAATGTTTTGATTAGATCTGATTACATTTTTGGATAACCTATACAGGTTATCCAAAAATGTAGTAAAATACATGATTGGAAGTTTATTATAATATAATCGTGTTAACATAATTGAAAAATGGTTACCTATCGGCTCTCGGCAAATGGCGTAAATATAGGTCCATTTCATTGAGAATAGGACAAGGGACAATTTGAATGGAGCAACTAATGCCAAACAACGAAGAGTTAAAACGTTTGTCCAGAACGTAACATACGTAGCACAAGAGTGAGAAAATACAGTTAATTCAAAAAAGCTGAGATATGACATAGAACACCCTTCATTGGTGAAACTATTAAATCGTATATCCCAAAATTATTGCAGGGGTTAGGCAGTATGATGAAATCGATTTCGTACAAAATAATAATTCTCTCATTCGCCATTCAAAACGCAAGACAGTTAGGCCCATATAACTTACATTAAATAGTAATTAGTGATCTTATTATATCAGCTGTCAGTTGTTATTGTTTAAACAACGTTTATTGCAGGTACCGTGTATTTTGCATTTGGAAAGAAACACCCAATTATGATTCTGGAAGGATACGAATATATTATTAAAAACACCTACGGCGAAAGATCGTTCTGGAGGTGTAAATACGAAAATAAAAAATGCAAAGCTAGATTGAAGTCATACGGACGAACTGTTTTGATCAGAGCCTCTCATAATCATCCGTCCACGTTCAGGGGCTCGTATACAGATTTGAAGTCGCAAATTGTTCAAATCGAATACGGAAACAAAATTTTCTAATATATTTTTTTTAGATGAAGGAATGTACCTAACGTTCACGGACGAGAATATAAATTTTGTTATTAAATTTGTAAATAGAAATACTTGGTATGTTAATGTTACTGATGTATATAATAATCAACAATCAAGTTCAAAACCGTGAATAATAGGACACTGGGTAATTATTCAGGTATCCGAATTCGTTCCGTTTCGCTTGGGTCAGACGTTAGTTGATGAAATGCAAAATAATATAAAAGAGCCTATGCGTTCCTATTTTTAAAATATATAATGGTATGAATTGGCAATTGGAGGTAGATTTAATCTAAGTCTCATCGCTCAATGGCAGCTACTGTGTCTGAATATTTTGGATTTCACAGTTTACTTTAACTGAAGATAAACCGACTACAAGCATATTAAGTATGTAGTGAAAAAAACAAAACAAAAGAGACTTGACATCATCATACCAAAACAACTACTATCCAGTCATAACTAATGACTTTTAAATCACGAATACTAAATTCCCATTTTCAGCTTATATGGCGACGATCATTCTATTTTTTGTATTTTATAATTCAGATTTTTTATATGCGGTATCGTCCTACATATCTAGGAAAATACGGAGTAATACTTAAAATTAAAAGAGAAGCAAAAAGTCGTTACAACAAAAAAATCCATGCAATTTTTGAAATCAACTACGTTTGTCGAATAATTGTCGGTATTATTTTTTTTTTAATGAGAAAAAGGAAAAAATAATTGTCAAATATTATATTGGTTAATAATGCCTTTCAGATAATCAGATGATGCTACTTTCCTAAAGTACAGTTTTCCATATTAATCTCATCCCATAGTCAGCCTTCTATTTACCACATTCATATTCCTTGCAGGCTATGAAAGAACAGCTACAACATGAGCTACTCGAAGGAGATAATTGCAGCTGTATGAATTAATCCCTCTCACAAAACTTTATTTTAATTAAACCAATTTGTAATATGAAAACATTAAACGGAATAATTAACTGATATTACATTATTTTCAACTGGTAATGTGTTAAAAAAATTATCTTGAAAGTAGAATCCCGCCACTCTCACACAGAATGCATCTGCTCATGGTTCTTTTCTCGTTATTTCTCCAACGAAAAAGGATTCACTTTTACGAAATTCATATACAGTTGCTTTAAAATGCTCAAAAATTTGTAATATCAGCTCAGAAAAACTCCTAAACTATTATTTGGTCATTATACTTTGGTATCCATATGTGCTAGTTATGCAGTGGATAAAGATTTTTCTGATTATTGCTTTTAATTGAAAAAAAAGTGCAAAACTTGAAGATATTTGTGGTTGTTGGTTGACTTTGATAAAAACATTTTTCTAAATTTAGTGTGTGACCTAGAAGTTTTTTAGTTTCAACTCTTCCCGATTTTTATTGTCACCTTTGCAATTAACTACTTTCAGTAATACATATTTCTATTTGGTTCGTTTTTTTTAATAAAATTTTCATATACCACGCTGCGTATTTATGTGTATTAGTTTCAAAAACAAAATTCACCACCATCCTAATATTTTCTTTGCTTTTCTGCATCAGGTATGCATATTATAACAATATACTAAATATACTTTTTTTTTCATGTTTAATTATTACTATTTAATAATTTTATCTTAAACCTTTATTTTTGTTTTTAGGTACAGTTCACTTTTCGCCAGGGCGGAAACACCCAGTAATGATTTTAGAAGGTTACGAATATTTAATCAAAAATAAATTCGCCGAAAAATCTCAATGGCGCTGCAATCAAGTTAACAGAAAATGCAAAGCAAAACTAGAGTCCTTTCGAAAAACAGTAAGGATTAAGAATGACCATAATCATCCCCCAACATTTAAAGGAGACAGTTCAAATTTAAAATCACAAATTGTCAGATTAGAAAAATTGTTGTATTAAACAAAAATAATTAATACATTTTAATTAAATAAAGTTACTCTGAGAGTCAATTATGTATGTTTTAATATTTTAATTTATAACGTGTCTGCAAATTGGTCTATGAAACTTTCCGTGAATTTAGTAACTCGAGGATTTTAATACAATCCCTAATAAACTCTGTCTCTATTTTAGGACTTGTTCATTTTATTTTCAAAAGGAAACTACCGATGTTGGTGATCAGAAACTACGAATTTCGCATGAAGAGGAAACAAAGCTACAAAACGTTGTGGACTTGCAATAAAGAGGATCTAAAAAAATGTAAAGCGCGGATTTATACATACGGAAAAACGCTTTACATCAAATCATCAACACATACTCATCCACCGACTTTTACAGGAGAGCTTGAACTTTTAAAATCGCAACTAGTTAATATCGTTTATTAGGCAAACGAATTATTTGCATTATTTACATTTCAATCTTTTTCAATTTCAATGACTGTGGTGAACAATATGTGTAATAAATATATTTCCCATTCAATAGTAATAATACAATTCATAAATAAACCTTAATATAATACAAAAGAGATTTCTCAATAAAATTTTATTTATTCACTTATATTTAAAATAATACAAAACTACAAACTACTACTTGTTAATACTACTATAATATTCTTCCTCCAAATCATACAAATCTGCAGACATATCATCCCGTAATGACATAAGCTTCTGATCACATTCAGCTTGTTTGGTTCTATAATAAAATATTTTAATCGTTTTTAGTCTTTTTACCTACTAAGCAATTGAAACCGCTAAATGAAAATGGTATTCCAAAAAGTACATATCTGTAAACTTAAAAAACATATTGGCACTGAGATTTCAGCATAAAAATTTCATTTTATTCATTATTCCTACATTTATACAGCACTTTTGTAAATGATATCAGACACTGATGTTTTGGTCCGTTTTAATAGCAACTAGGAAAAATAAAAAGTCATGGTTTAAGCCATAGTCATTACACCTGTGCAACTCAATTGAGCATGTGTCATTATTGCGTATTGATTTTCTGGTTTTCTTTTGGATTTATACAATGAACATAAATTGGCAATTAAATTTGACTCTGAACCTGGTTGAAATTTACAAAAATACAGAGTTTGGTTTATCAAATTTGAAATCAATGTGGTCCTTGATATACAAAAAAGAGTTCACAATTGTTTTTACTTGTTCCAAGTTGCGAGTACTTTAGCGTTAAGGCATGAATGTTTGAAAAAGCCTACTTATAATAAAGATGTTTTCATCTGTTTACTTTGATTTTATTTCACCAGATGCTTCAAATGGCCTACGTCAAGTTTTGAAAACAAACAAAAGACCTGGACGACCCCCCAAGAAACTTAGAAGGCAGAAAAAACCAGATTCATCTCCAAGCAGTGACGAAGGGGATGGTTGGGAAAAAAATCAGGACCCCATTGCAAAAGAGCTAGTTACTGACGAGAATTTAAAAGAAGGACGTTTTATTTTGGTTCAGTTTTTAAGCGGGACGAAGAAAACAGTCAGATATGTTTATTTGTGTGTCATTCAAGAGATTATTCGTAATAGTTGCGCTGAACCTGATGTCAAAGTGATGGCACTACATTGCGTCAATACAAAGACCAAAAATACTTTCATTTCATGTAATAATGATATTTCAGATGTAAGCAAAGATGATGTTTTGTATGTTTTACCAATACCTAAGATTGAAATGACTGGAGAAAGAATAAGATATGTTTTTGATAGGTCTATAGATGAAATTTTCCAAAAGTAGATATATATTAATTCTGACGACATGCAATTTGTTTTCCAAAACAAGAAATTTGGTTTGAATATAAAAACAAAATAAAATGTTCACTGCTTGTGATTGTTTGCATTCAAACAGTTCATATCAATGATATCTTACCTGAACAACTTGGAATTTTGCGTTATTGCTTCATTTACTGAAGGAAAATCATTTAATATCAAGTACTGCTTAATATCGGAAACTAATTTCATTAGCGATTCTCCTGCACGAACAATATTAGCAGATCTAACGTGCATTTCGTATGTGTCTTGTTCACATTGAGTTAGCCTTGATAACTGAGTATCATGATCCACTTTAGCTAATTTAACAATCTCTACAAAACAACAGAAATTATTATTGGAATTTATGTTACACTGTTTACCTTCAAAATTTTCTAACATGCTTTTCACATCGTCCTTAAGCCTCGTCCTGTAAGATTTTAACAACGCTTCCTTACTTTGTGGTAAGGCCCGAGAAGTCATCATAAATTATTAACCTTTGTTTGTCTCCTTGAAAAATAGGGTTAGTTTCGAAGAGTGACAATTCTTTTTCTTCTTTGTTTCTTTTGCCCCTAGCAATTTGCCAGATCGTTATGTGAAGCAGTTTGTAAATGTACATATTAATTATAATTTCAATAAAAATTGTATTTTTTAAATAAGTAGGATGGCATTTATTCTCTAAAAAGACAAAACAATATTACGCAATGTGGGCATATGGACATAAACAAATTAATAGATTTCGGTCACTGCTGTTCGTATTATCTCCGTGTATGTGTGACTTTCCAATTAGCTCAGACAAAAAATAATATATGACAATGAGCGAAAACACGAGCGAATAAGTGAGAAAATAATCACAAACTAAAACGGGCAAGTTTCCCAACAATATGCGGCCAACTAAAGAAAATAATAAAATCCGTTTCTTGTTGTTGGTTTCCTTCTAATTAGTCAATGCGTCGAGATCATTCGACCATAAATCGTAATTTTGTTGATAATATTTTGAATAATTTTTTAACCATGTATCTTGTAGAATTTTAATTTGAATCCGGATATTCTTTTTTTTTTTGGACCGTAATATTAAATTTTTCAATTTTTGATTATGATTTATGCACAGGGGGATTGACACATCTATAGAAAGTTGATTTCTAAGTTAATTGAAAATCTCACTGTTTTCGAGATAACGGCTGTTTTTTGACATTTTTACAAATAGTGAACCGATGGCTAATAATAATTTTTGAGATATGTGTACATTTCTTGGATACTTTTCATAGAGCTTAAAGAAGGCATACTGTAAGTGTTAGAAAACTGACATTATATTTGAAATTTAAATTTCCATTTGAATAGAAATAATTATTTAAGGTATTTGCGAAAACATTTACTAGATATCTTAGAAGGACATACTATACATAATTTTAAGATAATTCTGAGACTAAATATTTTTCAATCGCCAGAGAAAAGAAGAAATGTGAGCGATGAAAGTTGATATCAGCGACTGTCATCAACTTGAAAGGAAAAAAGTTGTGTCGCCATATACATATTAATATAGTTGCAACACAAATAAGAAAGCGATCATATAAACTTCTTAGAAATGTACTATTTCGCTTTGAAAACGAAGTAGGTAAATTAGGTTTGTAATTATTTTAATTATAATTAAAGACAAAATAATTAAAGGATATGTTAAACTATTTAACTTTTTGTCATTGAAAATATACAAAGCCATTATTGGTACCTATAATTTTTTATTGCTACTTTATGAATAATAATTTTACGATACTATTTAAATCATTGTGAAGTGCATATCCAGACAACAGAAAAAGCTGTTTTGGAAAATAGAATAATTGTTAGTAATTTTTTAATTATTTAGTAAAAACATCGAAAAGGGCTTTTCTCTCACCCATTACCAAGTGCCGACTCTATTAGTAATTCTACCGAATCGTCGACTACCTTATAGTCATAAACTCAACACAATAAATATAAATAAAGCCTTAGGCGGTCGGAAAATAGAAACGGTTTTGTCAAAATTTTGTTAAAAACTAGCGGTAATTCTTCTTTACTAAATGGCGAATTGCGCAATATTGCGCAATATTGTAACACTCTTAAATGTACGTATGATAACTGAAATATGTGACAGTGTGTTTTTTTTTCGGTTGATATGTGATCCCCCCTAACGTATTTAAATAGGAGAAGCATGGTTCTAGTAGGTATAGGTATTTGTTCTCTAAAACAATTTTTCCGTTAATTAAATTTATAAAAAAAAATTGCCCTTAAATTTCAAACACAAACTTTCACTTTTCTCTGAACATTTAACGGAATCTAGGGATATTTTGAAAAAATATTGCTGTGCAAATTTATTATTAACGGGACCATTTTACAAGGGAAATAAATTATAAAATACATTTTAGTTTTAAAAAGAAGGGACCAAACCTGGCCAGCATATTTCAGTACTAAGCGAAGAAAAGCGCAATTGAAAATCTGATAAACCAACGCTAAATCCCCTATGTGCCATAGTTGTAACATCATTTAAATTAATTCAGAAAGTTGCAAGACCCCTATATCTCTAGTTTCATTCACATTTTTAAAGGGCAATCAAACATAATTGTAGAATATCTCCTGGCGAAACTTGTATTTCTATTTATTTATATTCAAAGAGTTTAATGTCGACCAGCGATAAATTAAATTTATATCAGACTGGAGATTTAAACAATCTATATCAGCTACAGTGATGACTGATGGTTTAATGTAGCAAACCTAATAAATTTGTCAATGTAACAAATAAATAAATTGAAGACAATAGGATCAAAATGTGAACCCTGAAGTATACCTGAGTAAACATCAATGTCTTGTGAAATCAGACCGTTGATTCTCCCCTTTTTGCTTTTGCTGCGAAAAAGAACTAGAAATCCAATCTTTCCACCAAACCCAAGATTTAGATATCAATAACTTACAAAGAACTCTATCAAAAATCCATGTACATTTCCTATCCACATGAAAATTACTTCTTTAGACACCCAACAGAGTCTCTTGGGAAGTTAGAAGATTAGGTTACAGTGGAGCATCCCGATAGGAAACCATGCTGTCTATTTGTCATTACCGGCCATAATAAAGGATGTAACCCTATAGCCACTAGGACATAGAGGCCCTGCCTATGCCGATAATACAGGAACTTATGAGGCAACTATGAAAACATTTTTGAGAATGTCGAACATACATATGTGCGAGATTTAAAATCACGTTTTTAACCAATGATCTTGGCCTTTAAGCCAGCATTTTCTTAATATGCCTAAGTTTCTTTAAATGTTGTGTGAAAACGAGTTAAGTATGTGGATGTCGTTGTTTACAAAGAAAAGGGCGCAAAGTGCAGGTTAGTGGGTGAAAGGTAGAGGCATGAGCGGAAAACCATTACCTTCCCTATGAGAACATCAATGCCGTCTGCTACGCAGCAATTTTTACCGTAGTAGAGCTACTATATTAGTATTAGGGGGTAACTAGCAAATTACTGTACTTATTATAAGCAGATTTAAAAATTGGTGTATTAAAAGGGTGTCTCCAAGATTCCGGAAAAATCTGACTGTCAATAGAGAGATTCAATGGCGGTTCAGACAGTATTGTTGATAGTATTGTTTATTTTTTCAAAACAAAGTAAATTCACTGTGATAAATAGAGTTAGGATTTTATGTAAAAAACCATCTTTTTTATTATTAGGAATATCAACCTAATATTTTGGATATACTCGTTTTAAAATAAAAATAAAGCTTTGGTACATATTTTTAATTGTTGTACATAAAGTGAATATTTTCCATTTCTCGAGTATAAGATCATATATTTTTGACCCATTCATTAGTTTATTATTGGGATTCTCCAAACGGATAAGATTAAAAATGAAATGTATCGCCAATATTGTAGGCTTTCTATTTATAGCCTTCAAATCCCCTTACCTATGGATTAAGCCCTGGTCCCTTTTCTTGTTTAACGCTTTTATCTGTGATTTTAACGTCTTCTGAAAATGATCACTGATGGTGCTTGTGATTGAATGAAATAAATACATCCCACCTCTTCATATGTACTTTTGATTTTTTTTAAGCATTTTAAATATTTTGTTTGCTGTCCGAGCGTCCGAACGTAAAAAAAAATATTTGTTAAAGCGCCTCTTCGAGTTCAAGTTTATAGAGAGACAATGCCAAATGTTCCTTTACCTCATGAACCCGTAATTACTCGATTACTCGATTACTCACTTTAATCAAATAAAAAACGCTGTAATAGACTTTTCATTCAGATTCAGCTGATTCAATTAAAAAAACTAAAAATGTATATAAAAAATGTGAATTTATGTATCAGTAGACATATATCAAAGCTAATTTTATTTTTTTAAGTGGCTTTAATAAAAAATTAGAGACCGAACAAATTTTTTTGTTAGAATCAAGTTCAATAGTAGAAGAGTGCGAACATTTGTTGAAAAAAGGTCCAAGCAGAATAATCAAATTCTTGATAAATTTAATAGCGTAACAACAAAAAATGAAGGGTTTCAAAAGTTACTTCAAATTTCAAAAATTTTATCGTTAGATGCTACGGTTGATAATAATTTACATTATTTCAAATCAGAACATCTTGCATCATTTAAATTCACACCAATTACTTCGGTCGACGTCGAAAGGACGTTCTCCAAGTACAAAAGCATATTAAGCGATAAAAGACAAAAATTAACCATAGAAAATTTAGGGCAGCATTTAGTTGTCAATTATAAATTTTCACATGACAATTGTTTCTACAACACCGTGTCTTTATCAAATGTGACATTTGATAAAAACGGTTGTCGATACAAGTTTCATGTGAAAATATATAATTTCGTGAAAATCTGAACTTTCAGTTCTTATTTATTTTGATAAATGGATTTTCATCAAGTAAAACCTACCTCAGTTCAATCACTAATTTATTATTATCTAATGTTAATAAACACTCCTAATTCAGTATTATTATTTTTATATCTAAAAACTGTAAATATAATGTTGTAATTTTTTTCGTTGTTTGACTATTCTTTCCTTGATTTTCAGCAAACAATATTTGTAAAAAATAACAGCCCTAAAAGTACATAGATAGTAGAAAAAAGCATATATTTGACATATTTTTTGTAAAAAACAGACATATTTATGCGCATATTTTAAGCATTTTCTGTGCATAAAAATCCGAAGTCTATATAAATAAAAATAAATGACCACAAAGAAGACTAAAATCATGCGAGTAACACGTTTCTACTCAAAAAGATCGGGCATGTAAAGACTGATCGCAAAGTAAAACTTTCCTAAGTGACTACGCATGAAATGTTTATTCAGATTTGAATTTGAGCATATACCGGGAGCAACCAACTAGGCGAACTTCCTTTTCTGTCATTTGACACCTCGAGGAACTGGAATCACATTGGAGCTTGCCACGCTAAATAGTTCATAAAATGTATCTATTATTTTTCAATTTGTTCAATTCGTTTTTGTTAGTTCTCTGATAAGATTTACGATTTGGTGTTAATTTGTTGCTGTTCCGCAGGTCGGACGTACGCCGACCTCTAGTCGACCTCGACCACACGTCCAAGCAAAACATATAATATAGAAAGAGTGTTATATTTACACGAAGCTAGTGCTATTTATTTTTTCGAGTTCTCCACGTGTCGATAATATGGTTTTAAATATCACTTAAAACTTTAATTTGTTTGTGAACCCTTCATGGACAACGTGACTTGCGGAACAGTTATGATAAAGTCAAGAAAATGAAGAGGATGAGTTCGTGCGATGTGCTGCAATGGCGTAACTTAGCCCAATTTATTTAGGGCTCTTTAAATAAATTTGATTTGTAACAGACCTCTAGACATCGGCAAAGCAGACAGATCCTTTGTTGACGAATTAGTAACCAAATGGTCAGCTCGATTTCAGCTACTTCTTATAGTTAGAAAGTAGCCTCTAGGAAAAAAATAAAATTTTTAAGGATGATTTGTAAATCTCCGTATGAGATATGTTGGACAACAAAGAACAAGTTTTTAAATAATTTAATAAGTCGCTTCCAGTTTTTATTATTATTTGTAATTACGTTACAAATCTGTAGTGTCCATATTTTAACAAATTATTTGTTTACGTAATAATTCTAATAGCTTAATATATTTTTGAGAGCACGTCTATGTACCCAGGTGCTGATGACTTGCGATATTAATTGGAGAATCGAGGTGTCTATAAAATTCCCAAACTTGCCGATAAGTAACTAAGTTTAGTTTGCCGCTTTTTGAATCTTACAGTATTCTTCAACAAAACTTTAAAATGGTTTTATCTTTGAATCGTTGGGTGGATAAAGTCGCCGTAGTGACTGGTGCTAGTTCAGGAATCGGAGCTGCCATTGCTGAAGAATTGGTAAAAGCTGGAGTAGTGGTGAGTTATGATTTTAATCAAAAACCAAATTTCCTCTTTAAATAATCTCTATATGAGTTTATAATTTGTAAGTATTTTTTAATTATTATTTATATACAGGGTGTGTACTTTTATCTCTGTACAAATATGTAAAATTGTGCTTTCTTAATGACAGCGGAAACTGCTTCTTGTGATACCTACAGCGCTTTTAAAATGTAGACCTCAGTGAGATTTTATATCTTTTATTTTTGGTGTAATTTTTATTAAAACAATAAGGAGATATGGACAAATATTAGTAAATCATTAGCGTTCTTTTAAATTAAAATCTGAAAACATAGAGGTAATCTCACCCATCCATCAAAAGCTCTAGTGCTACATTTAATCAAAAAATATAGGCGGTTACTTTTTAAACGTCCTCGAACTTGACCAAAATGGGAAAATTACCAAATTTTCAAAATTCAAATAAGAAATACACAAATCATTTTTTTCTGTATGGCACCATAGTAAGCAAAATTTGTGAACGAGCGAATTCGGCTACAGAAAAATTGACAATTGTACTAAAATACTTTTTATTATTTTTGTTACATTTGTATATGATATATGTGAATGTTTCGGATTCAAAATGCCCTGACACAATTTCAAGATCCACTTGAGTGACTTTAAATGTAGTCATTGTAAAATTTTGCCGATGATGACTTTGTTACATTGTTGTAAATAGGAGTTTTATTTCAAAGAGAGTATGATATAAATATAGGAAATTGGGGTTAGTTTCCTTCATGTAATTCGAAATAATAATATACGAGATGTGGTACAAAACATTATTTTTGAAACGGTGTGATGAACCTCAGGCCAAAGTGCATTTTCGGTTAGACTATCAAAATTTAGAGAAATTATAACGGATATCAGTATAGGGAAGCCTGAATAAAATCTACTTTATTTTTATCTTGGTTCTAAAAATAAATTAATACTATACCGAAAACCGGCGGTCAAAGATTTTTTTAGTTAAACAGATATATATGTACTTCTAGAAACGTCCTCAATTTTTGTTTGCGCGTTTCAAGTATCCAATAGTTTAGATTGTTAGAGTACTTGCTCTTACCTCCTATATCATTTTGAATTAATCAGTAGATTCGTAGTTACTTCTAATATTTCAAACATATTGTTTCTTCTTTAATTTTCTATCGGATATGGCCTTTATTGTGCTAGCTGCTATTAATTAAATAGATCTGAACCGTATCTATTTAATTTAATTGAATAATAATTATTATGTACAGGTTGCAGGACTAGCTAGAAGAAAAGAGAGATTGGAGAAATTGACTAAAAAACTGAGCGGTGAAAAAGGCAAATTGGTTGCCATTCAAGCTGATATCACCAAAGAGGAAGATATCAAAGCGGCGTTCGCATACGTTTTGAAAAATCTGGGTCCTGTCAGTATTTTGGTTAACAATGCCGGTCTAAGCAAATATACATCACTAACTGACGGTGACACACAGTTATGGAAGACAATCCTAGGTGAGTAACACAAAATAACGACTCTAAACATCCGAAACCTTTAATCGAACTCTCTTAGATACAAATGTCCTTGGCCTAAGCATTGCCACACGGGAGGGTATTAAGCAAATGAAAGAGAATAAAATCGACGGCCATGTGATTCACCTAAACAGCGCTTTCGGCCACTACGTACCAAGCACTCCAGGCCTAAATGTTTACCCCGCCTCTAAATACGCAGTTACAGCTCTGGCGGAAACTCTGAGGCATGAAATTAACAGCCAAAACCTCAAAATTAAAGTCACAGTATGATTTACTTACTATTTCGACAACACTAAAATAATATCGCTACAAGTCAACATCTCGAAAGTCCGAATCCATTTCGTTCAAATCATTTTCGGTAGCTTGTAGCTTTCCTTGAGATTTATTTATTTATTTATTTTTGTTAAACTCATTTTGTTCTTTATGTATTTATTTATCGGGTTGAATCGATGCCCATATATTTTTTGAAAGTTCAAAAGATTGAAAGTGGATCCGAAGGAGGAAATGAAAATTTTTTAAAATTTTCTTGTGGCGATGAAGGGGTCAATTTTAAGTTTAGTTGGACGGTGCATAGTATAGCATTAAATTTTAACCACGAACTAATCCTCTTAACGACGAAACTCTAAGTTTTACCAAAATTGATTAGTTTCACGCCCATGATTTAAAGCCTAGTGAGTCATTGAAAAATAAAAAATTAAAACATTGTCAAATAATAATTGGGAAAAGTTGCTGCTATTTGGCAATAACTTATCATTGTCAGAAATGTTTTAAACAATATTGGCTTAAATAGTTCAAATCATCTTTGCCAGCAATATTTTATTAATCATTTTATCTAGGAATTAACATGGCTTTTCAAAGAAAATTAAGCAATGTGGTTTGTATATTTATAATTTTGACAAAGGCTGGGTAGAAGAAAGCCTTAAAATAGATTTTTTTGTACAAAAATTCAAAAAATTAACGTTTATTTTATTTTTTATCTATTTTTGATATCAATGCGAATAAAAATAATTTCCATAAATTTCCGTTTTTGAAAACCAATTTTTTTTAGGAAAATGTTTGTGTAGCCAAGGATGATAAGTTCCGGTGTTTGCAATCAAGTGCTTAGTACCGAATAAAGCTTATTTATTTCTTAAATCTAATATTAAAATATGTTGGATGAAAAATGAAAAATATATCGAAGACAAACGAAAGTAATTTATTTCAAGAAATTTACTTTCGGGGTAGAGAACGTCCCCGTTTTTTAAGAAAAATATTCCTTATATTAGTTATATTTTCATATTCATTTTACTTAAAATCATTATTTTTCTTTATTATCATTATCCCATGCATATATTTAAATATATATATATATATATATATATATATATATATATATATATATATATATATATATATATATATATATATATATATATATATATATATATATATATATATATATATACATAAAGAGTTTATTATACTGGACATAAATCAAAATTTTTTGAAGATAAAATAAATTCACATAATTTTGTTTTTTGTGTTGGTAATATTGACAAACAAAACAAAAAAAATTTAGTCAATTGACACACAAATTGCGTATTCCCTTGTTTTTTTGTAACTGTTAGGAAGATATCTACAACTGTTTCCTCCATTCACATTTTATTTTCACAGTAACCTAGAACTGGTTCGAAATTTCTGGAACGACGCTTCAACAATGAAAAACATTTTTTCGGGGGTGATATTGAATAGGACTATTTCACGAGACCAATATCTTGATTAGGTTGGCACCCATACTTTTATTATTGAATAGCAGAATATCGTAATATCAAAATTGGAACCAATTCACAAATTTTCTAAATACGTTATCATGCAAAATATGTAGAAAATTTTGATACGTTTTTCTCAAAAAACATTATACCTCGTGAAACTTTACTACGTGTACAACAATTTGTTGTCCTCTCCTACTTCTCTCGGGTTGGAGGGGTTCAAAAATCAAACAAATTTTGTCAAATTTATCAAGTCTTAAAATACTCCAATTTTATTTTTACTTATGAAAACCTGGTCTCCATCTACCAACTCAACTGATTCTATTTTTTCAACTCCGTCGTCACTTTTCGGATCAAAACTATGCCCAAAAGTTTAATATTTTGGCAACGAAAAGAAAACAAAGTTGAACGAAGTCAAAATTGGTCAGAATAAAATATGTTTTTAACGAAAGAACTGTATTAGAAAATGTACTGACTGTAACTCGAAACTTTAAACTATTATGTAGTTGTTTTCAGGTTATGTTTACTTTAAACGATTATGCTATAGCATTTTATGGGCGCAGTCACTTTTTCTGGCATTATTTCTGTTGGCAAATAGTTCTTTGTTATTTCAGAGTATCAGTCCTGGATACGTAGCAACTGAGTTCGTCGCGGTATGTACAGGAAAAACAGCCCAAGAAATTGGCGTTACTACACCTGGATTACAAGCCAAAGATGTTGCTGATGCTGTGGTATATGCCTTGTCGACACATCCTCATGTAAATGTAAGTTAAATTTTAAAATTTATTAAGTTTATTGTTGATTTTGTTCAAACCAAATATTTTTTGTTTTCAGGTTTCTGAGCTCACTGTACGAGAAGTTGGTGCACTGTTTTAATTTTGATTTATAATTTATTCATAATTCATAATTAATCATATATCAATAAATATATTTGTTTCAATTTTGTTCTGCTAAATTAATCTCCAACATAAGTCAGAATTTTGCTCATTAATTTGTTGAAATTCTGTAACATTAGAATTTTAGAATGAGAATTCTATAAAATTAGGGGTGAAACGTGAAAAGAAAATGAATAGCGTTCATGTTGGCATACGCCAAAATTATGCACTGATCAGGCTTGGCAAAAGTGTCACTCTCGTCAAAACAAACTCATGACTAAGATGACGTTTATCAAACTTGCTGCTTAATATAGTATATTTAATTTTTTATTTTAATATTTTCAGTATTAAATTTAATTTACATTTTCACATATCTTGGTCCAATTTTGGGGGTAATTATAGAATCCAAATTAATAATTACAAATTCTTTTGTGGGGGATAAATACGTGGTAAAATTATTTGTTGTGTCAAGGGAATATTTAAAGCTCTTTCTTAGAAATTTTATAAGTTTATTCTATGTTTCAGAGAGTTGTCAGTCTCAGTGTTATTGTCTGGAGTTGAAAATATTTTTTTTTACGAAAAACTTGAAAATATTTTACACAAAAAGTTTTCATTTCAGTCAACGTTGGTAAATTGCTATTTTTTTCTTAAAATTCCTTTTATGCGATTTCAAGATTTTAAATTTATATCATTAACGTTATTTCAACAGTTTTGAGAATTTTAACTTTTTTTTTAAATACCCTCATCATTCCTGGATCCGCCTTATTTATTGAAATGTTATATTTCATAATTTTAATAGTTTTTTTTACACACTCAGACGTAGTTTTGGAATAGTTGGCAGCACTCTTATATGTGGTGCCTGGCGTTATGTAAAAATCTGGATCAAATCGAAAAAATTGAATATGAGAAAAATGATAATTAGTCGGTTATCACACATGTCCACATGTTTTGTTCTGGACAGGCCCTGGTTACTCATTGTATTTTATATTTTCTTTGTTTTCAATTTTCATTGCAAAAGTCTACAAAACATTTTTGCTTTCCGTAGAATGTACCGTATTTTTTTTATATCGACACCTATTAAAACAGTGGAGACGTAAACATAACATTTAAATACACTTTTACTTGAGTTTCGAAACGAATGCACGTCGTGGTTGATGCTATAATTTCATTATTATTCTTAATGGAATTATAATATAATTATAATCGCTATAACATTGCAGGACATTTGTTAGAACTTAATTATTACAAAATTGGAACTTAGCAAAATAAGTTACGGTCAGGTATGATAATATAATTTTCATCTTCCATTGAACGCAAGTATTTGAAAACATATTTCTATTGCTGTGCGCGATTCACTCTCGCACTCATTCGACCTCGAGGACAGGAATAGACTAACAGTCAACAACATACAGGGAGTGCGATGTATAATCAAACTCTGTGGAACGATAGTATAAGTTCTATTTACTTTTTTTAGGACCTCCACGACCCGATACGATGGCCTTAAAACTTTAATTTGTTTATCATGTACACCGTGACTTGCGGTAACACTAATGACACAGTCCAGAAACTGACGATGACACGTTGTTAACAGCAGTGGCGTAACATAACGGAATTGTCATAAGTACAAGCATACCTTTAACGATAAATGTTTTTTAATGTCCTACTGCAGCAAAGTGGTCGCAAAAGCTTCAAAAACACGCAATATGGAGTTATTAAAAATTATCAACAATTCTCTGGTTGTTTTATTTATCCTTATTTATATAAGCTTTATTCCATTTTTAATTGATTTTGCAAGAAAATATGACATACTAAATTGTCCATTATCAGAGATATGAAAGTGTCGAAAGGTTAGATAAAGAAGCAAATGTTATTCCACTCTTAGATAGATGCAATCAATTCAAATTGTTTTTTCCTGAAAATTTGAAGGGATTCGGGCCTGTTTTGAGAAAGCATCATTAACAGTATACGCGATTTTGTAAGAAAATGCGACACTAACAATTTAATATTCATAACAATAAATTGCAAAAGAAACTAGTTGTTAAGAAATTGTTAATTTGAAATTATTTTAAATGTTTCTAGCCTACATAGTGAAATTAATGTATCTTTTTATCTGTCATTTTGACATTTAGTGTACCAAATTCTTCGCTTGATTTCACTTACCTCCTAGTTGAAGGCGAACCTATAGAAAAGTACGTTTAATTTCAAAAAAAGTTTCTAAATTCGTATGCATGTATGCATGACAAGTTCAGTGTTTGCTGTCCTTCACGAAATACTTCTAATAATACTAATTAATACCATTACATACTATTGCTTATCTTTATTTTTATTGATTGAAAACAACCTAAAGTTCCTAGTTTTTTATTAATATAATTATCGATAATACATTTTCGAGCGCACGCCTATGTATAAAGGAATGATTTCAGATATTAAGCTGAAAACCACGGTACCTATAAATTCTCCCGCAAACTAGTCGAGTATAGTTTGCCGGCTTTGAATCCAAACGAATTTTCGTTGCTAAGATTGAAAATGGTTTTATCTTTGAATCGTTGGGTGGGTAAAGTTGCAGTAGTGACTGGTGCTAGTTCGGGAATTGGAGCTGCCATCGTTGAACAGCTGGTAAAGGCTGGAGTTGTGGTACGTTTGTTTTTATTAAAACCTTCAAATAATCAGTGCAGTTCATATCATATCAAAGTGTTGAACCATATATAATATACATTGAAACATTATTATATTTATATAAAAGAAATGTTCTAGCTCGTATTTAGTAGTATTTAGATTAACAATTTACTATATTACCGGCGAATTTTAATTTGTTATTACTTTAAAATAGTCGTTGGAAACATTATTGGTATCATACAAACCGCTTGCAAAAATTCAATTTTCTGAGAAATTATTAAGAAAGAGTATCTCACTCTCGCAATTGAAATCCTAACCGCTTAACGGAAATATTAACGTTAACGGCATTAGACGGCGTTTGCAAAAATTATGAAATTTAAACAAAACAACATAAGCTTTTTAATTTTAAAAATAAGCCAAAAAAATCGTAAGCGATGTTTCACGCTGAACACGAAAATGTCGTTTAACAGCTACTACTATAAAATTTACGTTTGGCCCACCACGTGCGAGAAAACCTGGGCCAAAATAGAATTTATTTTTTCTACTCCCGTCTGTAACATACCAAATTACGCACCGATCTAGCGTGCGGGAAGCGTCACTTTACCACATCAGTTTCGTTTCCCACGAGCAATCGGATGTTTTCAGAGATATTTCCCACGCTTTGAATTTTGACGTTTGTCAATTCTGACCGGCGTGTCAGTAAATGTATTCGTGTTGTTTTGCGAAAATGTACTTAAAAACTAACGGTCGTAGAAAAAGTATAGTATGCAATATATTCGGTAAACTTTTTAACTCACTCGTTTATTAAACACCCGCTCCGCTCGTGTCAAATAAACTCGTGGGTCAAATGCCGTTTACATAATGTACTAATTTTGCGTAGAATGAGTTTTTAAAATATTTTAGAGCGATAGGCCCACTGCTTGTGTTTACGTTTTATTTATAAACTTAGGAAACATTCCTATAATCTTCCTTATCCTGGATTCATAATTGTTTTATAGGTAGCCGGACTTGCCAGAAGAAAGGAAAGGGTAGAACAACTGGCTAAAAAACTGAGCGGTGAAAAAGGAAAATTGGTTGCAGTTCAAGCTGACCTCACCAAAGAACAAGATATCAAAGCCGCGTTCGAATATGTTTTGAAAAATCTAGGACCGGTCAATATTTTGGTTAACAATGCCGGTCTAAGTAAATTTACGACACTTACTGACGGAGACACACAGTTATGGAAGACCGTCTTAGGTGAGTAATACAAATAAACCCGCAAACATTACTTTCAATTACCACCCTTTTAGATACAAATGTCCTTGGCCTAAGCATCGCCACCAGGGAAGCAATTAAACAAATGAAAGAAAATAACATCGACGGTCACGTGATTCACATCAACAGCGTCCTCGGCCACACCGTGATCAACTATCCAGGCTTGAATGTTTACCCCGCATCCAAATACGCAGTTACTGCCCTGGCCGAAACTCTGAGGCATGAAATAAACAGCCAAAACTTAAAAATCAAAATCACGGTATGATCTAAATTTACTATAGCTATTTGAGTTAGACTGAAAAAAATTTCTATGGGCATTTTTGTTTGGTCATTGGAAATTTAGCGAACAATATTTTTTCTGGAGTGATAATCATACGACTACTTCGTCAATGAGCCGAATATTATTACAGAGTCACTAAATAACCAACATCAACAGAACTTTTATGTGGGATGAGACGTTTATTTTTAAAAGTATATCACGTTTGATATTTTGATAAAAGTTTTTGCCACTGGCGCGACCATGTCATAGATATAAGTGTCAACTTGCGATGTTGGCCATTAATACGTAGAATTTTAGTTTAGTCTTTCAAGTAAATGGAATATTATGATTTGTCTTATAAACAAACCTAATTAAGGCTGTCCAGTTTATTAACAAAAGACCAAAATCACTGAATCATATGGTGGTAGGAAATTACAAGAAATAGTGGTTCTAGAAATTATTCCACCCAATTCTACTTAACTGAACTTAAAAGAAGCACCCATACAAACGACACAGTACCAGAGACATGTGATCAAACGATGTATATAATTTGGCCAGTGTTTTCTAGAAAAATGTAACAGAAGACTCTATTTTTCTTTGATTTTTTGAAAATTATTTGGAAGGTTACACAGTCAAAATCACAATTTCACATCTACAAATACGCATTTGTTTTTCTGAGATCCAAAGCATACATGTGCAAAATGCAAAATTTATTTTTCAAAGAAATCTGTTGACTGTATTGAGTGCTTGAAGTGTAATCAAACGAAAGTTTATTTTCTTACTAATTATAGGCTACAACTATAAAGAAAACTAATACAAAAATCGTATGGTTAGAACCAATTACTTTCCGTGTAGTTTGACATTTTTTTCTGAGATATAAAATATTTAAAAAATGTTTATGCTGTTTTAGTAAAATAAAGCCATTATTTTTTGGCTGCAATTTTTTCAATAGACGTTTGTATTCAAGATTCTTATTATAAATCGAGCTTTGTTGTTTCAGAGTGTCAGTCCTGGATACGTAGAAACTGAATTCATCGAGGTATCCACAGGAAAAACAGCAAAGGACCTTGGTTTAAATAGCCCTGGATTAAAAGCCGAAGATGTGGCTGACGCCGTGGTCTACGCATTGTCGACACCTCCTCACGTTAATGTAAGTAAAACTTTCATGAGATAAATAATAACAAATTTATAAGTTTTTCGTTGCTGATTGATCTGTCTTAAGAAAAAAATGTTTTTACTTTCAGGTTTCCGAAGTTACTGTCCGAATAGTTGGCGAAGCATTTTAATTTAACTAACGTATTTTTATAAATTATCATTAAATGGGAATAAATATTTTTTAAAGAATTTCATTCTTTGATTACCTGCAAATGTACTGGTCGAATGGTCCTGGAGTGATCTCCACGAATTTGGCTCGATATCTGCTTGAATTACGTATACATGAAACAGCGCAAACATTCAAAAACCACATTAAATGATGTGCTAGATTAGATTAGACAGTAAATTTTACATTATTTTGTTACGATCGCCAATTTTTGACCGTGAGATCCCGAAATGTAAAATAATTTAAATTAAATGCTTTAATTATGCAACAATTTTGCAAATAACTACGTGAAAAAACTGTTGTGATGAAAATCTGCCCAGCCTGGTGTTTCACGAGGACCGCTTAGATACCTTTTAAGATATTTGTCATATCACGTCACTATTTATAAATCGTATCGTAATGAAATGAAAATAACGTTTTTTGAAGTATAATCAAGTTAGATCTAGATCTGAATTATATTATCGACTCTATTAATACAAATATTCTTGTACCAAGAGTATAGCTAATTAGAAGTCCTTAGGAACTAGTAAGACCTGACATATAAAGTATGAAGCATAAAAAAATATTCAACATGCTGAGATTGATCGTTGAGGCTTCTCGAGAATCTGTTGACCTTCCTCCCCATAGCTATGCGGTGATGCTTTCCCGAGAAGTATGTCTAATTAAAAGTCTCCAAACATGGTTGTTAATAGTGCCTAAGGCTTTTCAGTAGTCCATGAAAATGAGAACAGCTGTTGGGCCCATTTGGTTCTGCTAAAAAATGTGAAAGCTGCTTAAGGGTAACCTGGTAACTATTATCTGAGTTGCGTATAAGTATGCCAATTTTGTAGACAAGTTCCACCTCTTACATTCCAGCAGAACACTGCGGATATCCTATTCTTCAAGCACCCAGCTTGTGAGATGAATGTGGAAAGAAAATATTGGTTTGGTTATAGTATACTACAATGACAGTTTGCCCTCCAATTTTTCCACATCTTTGTCCCCCATTCCATTTTATAGGATGCCTCTTGGGCATAAATCATCAAGGTAATAGCCATGCTGTCTTTCATTCAATATATATACCCCAATGTTTTTGACAGTGGTTTTTATTTTGCAATTATATTCGTTGTCAGATCAGAAATTGATAACGCTTGGCAGAAAGGTTGTGACTGTGGGACAACAAATTAATACAATTTGAAGGTCAATTTTCTCTGAACCTGTGGTCCTAGAATCTTGTACTCTAAATTCGTTGTTTTACCTCATCTACAGACATAGTTCTAAATAAAAAAAAAGTTCTATAATTGAATTTTCTATTTTCTTAATTAAATTAATAGTATATTCCGTGTGATAAAGGACGCTTTAGTTACGAGTTTGCTGTGAAATTAGTGCAACGCAGCGAAGCGAGTGTTTAATAAACGAGTGAACGTATTGAATAATATACTTCTTCTACCACCACTACTTCACGTGGCTTTTTAGAATATGCACGAGATTCGGGACTAGACGTAATTTTCTTCAGAATAATTCTATGAATCTGCGGTAGAATAATTAAACTTTGACGATATTCTTTCTACTCTTAATAGAAAATAGAAAACCCTGTGAGTTGTTTCTCAGGATAGTAATGATTTTTTTTATTCTGTCTTATTTAATTAATTTTACAAACTGTCCGTGCGTATTTTAATTCTGCTTACAAACACATCGAATAAACTTTACAAATGAAAAAAGCGCAAAAAAAATTAGGTAAGTATACTTAAAACATATTTAGGATTCGCCGAACCCCGTTAGAACATCCCAATGGCGGTCTATGTACATCCTTAATCTAAAAAGTTAAATAAAAAATAATTTTGGCAGAACGTTATTTGCCTAGCGAAAAACATATTTACGCACATCATGAGCGTGACATTTTAGCATGTAATATTTCGCATCAAATGGCCCTTTAGTATTTCGTGATTCTGTTTTAATTTTTTAAGCTTCTACGCTCGCTTTAATGTCATACCAGTACAAATGCGCATATACATTATTATATCGTCCAATTAACGAATTATAATTAATTGCGAATCTTTTAGAGTTGTACCTAAAAATCTGCGCCGCTGTATGTGACCTTCAATGTTGAATAAACCAGACAAAAGATATAATAAAGAAGAATCGCCAACAAAAATTTAATTCAGTCAGACGATAGGCAGGTCGGTAGAAGCTTGGTCCAGTATTAACTTTTATTAAAGCAAAAATGGTGCTATCGTTAGATCGTTGGGTGGGCAAAGTAGCTGTGGTAACTGGCGCCAGTGCTGGAATTGGAGTTGCAATCGTAGAACAATTAGTAAAGGCCGGGATTGTGGTATGTTTATTCAATTTTATTTTTCCATTTTATCCTTTCACAAGGCGAACTTGAATCATTTATGAATGAAATGAATGAATGAAAAATATACTTTAAATGAAAAGTTATGCAGAACGCTTAGTAACATTAGTTGTAGAATGATGAAGTTTATTTCACGATGTGTTATTACACCATTTCACTTTGTGGTTCTGTTAGCAATAGGTTCGGAAATTACTTCGGTAACTAACATTAGGGTAATGTTTCCTTATACATGTTTCTGCAATATAGAATTAAATACTACTTTTTTTTGGAGTGCTATAAATATAAATAAATAAATAAGTAAGCCCTGAATGTGGGTTGCAAAACTTGGTCCTAGATTATACTATTACTTTCACATCATTTAATAATTTTTACTCTATGAAAATGAAAGAAAAACCGTTAAATTTAATTTTAAAAAAAGACGGAACAAAAATAGAAAACTCATCTATCCAAAGATATGTTTCGTTAGAAATTGAAATCATTAGGACCTTATATAGATATGTTAGATAAATTGAGTAAAATGCTATTCGTTCGTTCGTGTTATTTTCACTGTGCATAATTTTTCTTGAATTTTATGAGTTATGTAACAGAATTAAATTCAAATAATATAATTTTTGAAACGATTATGTAATTAAATGAATTAAACTGTCCGAGAACCAGACATTGTATTATGCACTTATCTAAAAAGATAACGTGTAAGTAGTAAATAATATCTGGTTTATGATCCTGTTTTTATTGGAATTGCAAAAAAATGTATTAACTTTTCTGTTTTTTTTTTTTTTATATTTAAGGTAACATTGGCTTTTTTTGTAAATACAATAGGTACCTATGAAAATAATAATATGGCAATTTTTATTTCTTTTGATATACGGTAATAAATAGCTAAATTGCTTTCTTCATTATTAGAATTTCAAAAAAAATATGTATTAAGCTTTATGTTTTGAAATGTTATGCAAGTAATAATATTGCACTCTTTATTTCTTTTGATATATTGTACTAAATAAAGTTTTGGTTAGTAAATTTTCTTGTTGAGAAGAATTCAATGTGTGTGTGAGTCCAGACCATTATATATATTTAATCTATAATTGGTTTATTAATAATACATTATGTGAACAAATTTTTGAGCGTTGCTAAAAAAGTTTTTTTTTTGCAAAACTAATATTATACGAAATTTTTTCCTGCACTACTTTTGGTATTTAATGCAAATATTTTGGAAAATACAGGTAGCAGGACTAGCCAGGAGGAAAGATAGGGTTGAAGAGTTGGCTAAACAATTAAGCGGTGAAAAAGGAAAACTGGTAGCAGTCCAAGCTGACCTCACAAAAGAACAAGATATAATTGCTGCTTTCGAATACGTTTTAAAAAACTTAGGACCGGTAAGCATTCTGGTCAATAATGCGGGCCTAAGCAAGTTCTCATCCCTCATCGATGGCGAAACTGAAATCTGGAAGACCGTACTAGGTAAGAAAAAAATATCCTCTGGTTTTGTATAATTTGTTTTTTTTAATACCCGTAGATACAAACGTACTCGGTCTTAGCATTTCCACCAGGGAGGCGATAAAACAAATGAAGGCAAACAATATCGATGGTCACGTGATACACATCAACAGTGTTCTCGGTCACGCCGTGGCCAATTATCCCGGTTTAAACGTATACCCTGCAACGAAATTTGCAGTCACTGCTTTGGCTGAAACATTGAGATACGAAATAAACAGTCAAAATCTTAAAATTAAAATTACGGTACAACGATTTGTTCATATAGTTTACTCAGTAAGAGAAAGAAGCAAATTTGATATAAATCTATACTTCGCAATTATTTTCACAAATACTTCACATCCACCGAAACGAATGGCAACTTTAAAATTTTAAATCTAACTCTCCACATTTTAATAACTGCTTAATTACATATATTTTAAATTACGTAATTAAACTTCTAAATTTATATTCATTTCTATATCCAACTAGAAACGCTATTTAGGTCAGAAAATATATGTGAATGAAAGCTTTAGTTATTATAATACTGATACTGAACGAATAACTTGGTTTATCCCAGCAGTTATTTGGTAGCTAATTTCACTTCTCTATGGTTTTTCAGTTATTTCTTAAGCATAGGCATATTTCTGGAACACCATTAATATTGTGTTTTAAACGAAAATGTCAAACCTAAGCAGTTTATTTGTTTTTTATTTATTTTGCATATATAATGCAATACAGGATTTTTTTTAATTCTAAAGTTGCCATTTATAAACGCCGAATATAAAATTTCAAACATTTGTAAGTTCTCCATAACTTTTAAAAGGATATTCTGTATATCATTTTCATCACTTAACAGTGTTTTATTTTAGAGTGTCAGTCCAGGCTATGTAAAAACTGAATTCATCGAGGTGTTTACTGGAAAAACTGCAGCAGAAGTAGGACTACCGGGTTTGGAAGCAGAAGATGTTGCTGATGCTGTGGTTTATGCGTTATCGACGCCACCGCATGTAAATGTGGGTACCACTTTTTTAAATTTAGCATAATCGCAGTAGCACTAACTTCTTATTAGGAATGGTTAGTTAGTTCATTTAGAATTCTGCTCACATTAAATTGTTTTTTAGGTCTCCGAGGTCACAGTCCGCGTACTCGCAGAAGCGTTTTAATTTTGCTGATTTTTATTATTTAAGTTGTCCGTTTCTCGTGAAACAGTATTGATGTAATATCTCAATCAATAAATAAACTGGTGTTTCTTTCATTCGATGCTTTTATTTCACACAGTAATTTTACAAACAATTTGTAGCGTTCGTGTAAAAAAAGTTGTTGCACAATACAATATTTTCGAATTTAATGCCGTATTGAAGCTTACGCAACATCGGACCGTAATGTACCATTTTGCAGTTTCAATAGTTGTAGGTAAGTAACGCCCTTTACGATGTAGCAACCATTAATACAAAGCATCAAAAAATTTCGACTATCACAATATGTGCTTTTTAAGCACAAAAACTAATTGTTTCCAAAATGCGAAAAAAAAAACTATTTTCATTAATTTTTGGAAATATACATATATACTGAACAATCTTGACATTTTGAGATTAAAGATTTTTTTTGTTAATTACTTTTTATTCAGTATGGATAATTATCTAGATTTGTATTCTGAACTCAGTGAAACAATAAAAAAAACAATGAATTTAAACTTTATATCTTATTTTTATCATAATAATAATAATAATATTTATTTCGCAAGAGAATTATACAGTACTTTTATTTTATACGTGCAAATCTAAAATTTGGCTAACCTTACGGATATATTTAGATATACAATAAGTAGGCTGCAATGTAAATAATAACGCAATTAGATAACAAGAACGTCTGTGGAATTTTTATATCTCCTTAAGTCAATAAGTAAGTATATTTTTGTATATTCACTGGGATAGGACAATATTAAAACAGTACCTACCTGACCTAAAAATTATTTGAATAGTAAATCAAATTTGAACTGTGTAAAATATTTTTTGACTTTAAAAGTGTAACACCTGTGGACTTTTATTTAAATAATTGTTAAATAATTATATGAATACTGTCTCTCTGGGTCGGGGTTCTGTCCTTCGATAACTTTTGGCTTACTATATGGTAGTTCTTAAGTAATAAGAGCAGTATTTGCAAATATTGCTCTCCAAGTTGTTAATTGGATGGTATTTTTTGAGCCCTTAATTTTTGCAAACAGCAAATTGCTTCCATAAAATAATAATACAATGATGTCAGAACCAACTTTACAATAACCAATGTAAGCTAGAAACATATATTCCAGTCGATCATCATTTTGTTACCATTTAGATTATCTGATAAATATTTTCAACCTGATTACAATTTCAAGCGCAGGTATTTTTTGCGAAGTACGTAGACCTCTTTTATATTTTGGTGAATTCGCCAGTATTAAATAACTAAGCAAAGACGAAGCGATCGTATATAATAGACAGCTATGTTAACATTCGTTCAATTGAATAAATAAAATTTAGCAAGAAGTCAGTATTTCCAGAAAACCTATTATACAGAAATTAAATTCATAAATTATTGTGTACAATTTGTCTCTCATAAGGGGAGTCATATACTTTTCTCAAAACTTATAATAGAAAGCAAGAAATTTTAGAAACAAAACAGTGTATTAAGGGCATTTTACTTTTAATATAATATATATTTTTCGAGCATCTCTTATTATGCTGATTTTTCAATAACAAGTCACATGTGTGGCTTTTTACCACTAAATCCAAAGACGCCATAAAATATAGGGCGTACCATTCAAAATTCCAAAGTTAATGTCGATATCGTATATTCCAAAAGTGAATTGTTTAAAATCTCCCATAAAGACAAAGAACGTTGGTATTTAATATTTCTTTAATAGCTATTACAGATTTTTAGAAAAGTATGCAAGACACCCGGTGCAGTACATTTCAAATTGGTTGTTCCCTAGGGTATCCTGAAAGCAATTACATAAAAATATACGTCTCTAAAATGGGTAGTATAGGTAGTACGAGAAATTTAATGGTGCAACTACTATTTGCATATTTTTGCAATTCTGAAAATTACAGGGTTACTCCTAGATAATTAAGGGTACCCTGCATCGCGATAGTTTCTTGTGACATTAAAAAGATTGATTTGATTTGATTGATGTTTTTGTAGAGAAATAATAACGTCCACAATGTAATTTTTTTGTATCCCGGTTTTCAGTTATTACCACACCCGGTAACTTTCAGAGTTGTGTAAATTTCCGAATATGAGTTGCGGCATTAAATTCCTCATAAAAAAAGGATTTCCATATTACCAAAGTTATATTATTCCCGATTAGCCTATTTGGGACAACCAATTTCGTACGAACTGTAAAATTTCTAAAATATCAATTTATATAAAACATTTTATTACGCAAAATGTTTAATATTTAATATAAGCATTTGGATTAAACTAAATACAGCTGAGTAAAAGTGTTAAGGTTAATACCTTTTGTTAAAGACGTTTGGAACACTACGCAAAATAAATATAATACTGCTCTCGAAATGGCCTCAACGGTGTATCATTAACTTCCATTCTGCGTGGGACTACATATCCCACAATATTTTGTGAAAAAAAAAACATTTATTGAATCAGTAATATTTCAAACGAATACTTCAGATGCCAGTATATTTCTGATATAAACTGATTCTTTGTGAGAAATAGGTAGTATCAAATGAACATTATGTGTTGGATTCTAATAGCAACAATATTTCTTTAGTAATAAAAATTTAGTAAAAATTCTGAGGGCGACAGAGTCTCAGTAATTTTGCAGTGTCGCAATAATATTTTAATACCCACTATGAAATAAATTAACAACTCAATAAAATATTTTTCTACTCCCGTCTGTAAAATACCTAATTACCGACCGATCTAGCGTGCGGGAAGCGTCACTTTACTACCTCAGTTTCCTTTCCCACGAATCCGAGCCACTTCGGACATTTCCGGGATTTTACCGCACGGATTTGGGAGCAATCGGATGTTTTCGGAGATATTTCCCACGCTTTGAATTTTGACGTTTGTCACTTCTGACGGTCATGTCAGTGAATATATTCATGTTGTTTTACTAAAATGTACCCAAAAACTAAGGGTCGTAAAAAGTATAGTATGCAACACGCTCCGCTCGTGTCAAATAAACTCGTGAGTCAAATGCCGTTTACCGCACTTGTTGCATAATATACTATTGTTTGACTGTTAGCCATTTCTAAAAAAAAGTTAGTATGACACATGACGGCATTGACAGTCAGGATTCTCTTCTCCTCCTAAATTTGTTGGCAGCTTGCTTGTCAAATTGATTACAATTGCCGGTTTCTCATTAAACCATTTACCGATAGAATAGAGGCTACCTGCAACAGACCGTCCGTTGCTACAAATGCGCTAAAAAATATTTCCTCGAAATAATTACAGAGTGCATAAGTATTTCAAGTAGGCGGAGAACATTTACAGCAATTATTCTAAAGCTTCCATTGCAATGTTTACTTAGTCAGGAAAGCATTTACTAAAATTTTCGTGCTTTACTAAAATTTACGGAACGAAAAATTCCAATCCAATCCAATACAATATGAAATGTGAAATATTAATATTAATTTAATACAATTGAATTTTGCTTTATACAAAACTTCTGGATTCCTCCTGCGTCGGATTTTGCTTAGCTGAAATTGCTGACGTTTCACCAATCATTCTGTTGGCTTCTTCAGAGCTTGACTGAAACTGGCTCGTATTTTACTCTATACCTGCTTATATATTGTTTCAGGGTGGCGCTAATGAGGGGTATAAACATCATCTCGGATGACTGATTCCCAAATTGGTAACAGGTGGAGACATGAGTCGCGATTAAGTTTGTTAGGTTGTTTATAGATTTCTATAGACTCTCGGATTTTTCGTTGGTAGAAGAACTGATTACATGCATGAATTTTAGTTTTATCGAATAAAATTTTTTTATGCGCGGTTTCATGGGTGTGTTTGGCAACAGCTGATGAGTTTATTTGTCTTAATCGTAAGGCTCTTTCGTGTTCTTTGAGCCTAGTTGATATTTTTCGTCCGGTCTCTCCAATGTATTCTTTGCCGCATATGCATGGAATGCTGTAAACTCCTGGCGTCTCAAATGGAATTTTGTCTTTGACGCACTGCAGATGTTGAGAGATTTTTGGACAAGTGGTAAATCTGGCTTTGAAGTTATACTCCTTTAGAATTTTTGATATGTGGTGAGTGATGTTTTGAATGTAAGGAAGGACCACAGTGGAAAGTGTAGGATTGCTTCCGACCTCATTGCTATTGGAAGGTTGTGGTGAAGTGTATTTTTTGATGAATATCTTTAATGTGGAAATTATTAGAGAGCAGAGCAGAGGTAAGATGTTTTAATTCTATTTTCAGTGGCTCGAGCTAAGATAGTTTTACGGCTCTGTAAACAAGAGAGTTGATAACCGATGATTTTTGGGCCGGATGGTGATGTGACCATGCATTAAGGTATCGGTCTGTGTGCGAAGGTTTTGTGTAAACACAATGACCCAATGTTAGGTCTGATTTTCTATTGATAAGAATATCTAAGAATGGCAGGTTATTATTAGCTTCCAACTCAATAGTAAAACGTATGTTTGAGGCCAAATAACAAAAGTATCATCGACGTAGCGTTTCCATAATTTTGGTTTTAGATGAAAGGTGTCGAGAGCTTTCTTCTCAAATCTATCAAATCTATAAACAACCTAATAATCTTAATCGCGACTCAGGTCTCCAACTGTCACCAATTTGGGAATCAGCCATCCGAGACGGTGTTTATACCCCTCATTAGCGCCCCCACCCCCTCAAACAATATATAAGCAGGTACAGAGTAAAATACGAGCCAGTTTCAGTCAAGTTCTGAAGAAGCCAACAGGATGATTGGCGAAACGTTAGCAATTTCGACTAAGCAAAAACCGACGCAGGAGGAATCCAAAGGTTTTGTAAAAAGCATTACAGTAGGCTGTGGAAGTTTCTTTGAAAAATTGAATTAATTTTCCAATATCGTGGTAAAAATTTTAAAATAACTCCAGAAACTCAGCTCCTCAAAAAATTTTCAAAATAGTGAAATGTATTCTACTCATTATATATTTGGTAAAAAAATCCCATAGATTTATCAGCTGAAGCGTGAAGAAAAGGGTATTCCATCCTTTAATAAAGTTGAAATATTGAAATTTCAATTCGGTAAAATTTTCAAGTTTTCATTACATTATACAAAATCTGTTTTAAACCTTTAAATTTTAATTTTTAAGAGGTATGACTATTTTCATATTTCAATTTCATATTTAAGTCAAAGGTTTCATTCGAAGTCAGGCGCGTGCCTACCTACGTTTTTCCCCGCATCTCGGTTGCTACGGTTGACTTTAACTTTAATTAACCTATGGTTTTATTGGAGCGTTGATGGCTGGATTACAAAACGATATAGTGGTTTACGTTTTTTTCGATACATTCAGAAGATCAGAAAACCTAAATGACGCAGAGTTATAATCTTGTAGTTACTTTCTTAGTTATTAGTTTGTTTCAATTTTACATTTCAATTTTACGTTTCAAATTTACATGTTCTCGTAAAAACTACTTATTTTTACAACCCCTTTTCTAACCATTCTTTAAAAATCCTTCTGGCACCGCAGTTGAGTTTTGATCCGTAAATTTGAATATGTCGTCGTTTACTACTACAACTTGTGCCCAATAATAAGTCAAATAAAAGTCGAAAAAGAAATGGTTTACTAACATGTACTTTTTAAAACAAAAAATGAATATAGTTATAAATTAGTTTTAAAACATCGAATATTAAATACCGTCACATATTTGAAATATTTCACTTTATAAAACAAACTAAGTACAAATAATTTCCAACCTTCGGCAGTACAGTACACATGTTCTCTGACAAATTAAAGTTTTGCTCGGATTTAACGGCGATCTTGTTGCTCTTATTCTAAAAATTAGATTATTTTCTTCTTACAGTTGACACACTTCCAAAGATATTGTGAGCATTATTTTTTGCACCTGGAGGCGTCTTGATGTCACAAATCGTTACCTCAACGCATTCAAATTCAAGAATGGATGGATAGCCGTTTCTTGTCAATGGCGTCTGCGGATGAGAGACGTCCAGTCTCCAAACTACATCCCTACAGAAATCTGAAAGAGATCCGTTTGAATAAACACATCTCCTCCAATATTAATCCCCTCAAGAGCTTCATCAAAACCTGTATTGATAACATCCCGCTAGAACACAAGCTGATTAAGACCCCCTTTTATTATTGAAATTTGTGTCTAGATATTAATTTTGTAGCAAAAATATGTGTATATGTATATGTGAATAATTGCAAAAGACAAAAAATACAAATTTCTAGGTTATGATTCTGACCCTATTACATTAATGACTAATATAATAGATTTTTCCTTGGGAAGTAAAATTTTCCCTCAATTTTTGGAAGACAAGGAGACATTTTAGCATTTTAGGGAAACACGTCCTCTTTTGACTATTCGCTTACAAACATTTGTATTAACTAAAATTCAAGAATTGTGACCCTTGATTAATGTTGTTACCAAATATTAAACGACGGCACGAAAAACAGAAAAATACCAGACTAAATGCAAATGACAGATAATAACGCGCATTGATTGAGACACAGAAAGAGACAAACATTGAATATAAAACTGTCCGGTCTGATTTTCAGAACATTGTTTCTGAAGAAGCTATCATTAAAAAAAAACCAAATCCAGTTAGCAATTTGTGAGATAATCTGCAATGTGCGTGAGCACAGTCGCAGCATTAGTAGTAATCCTATCGTACCTCAAGTTTCAAGTCAAAGACAAGATTCTTTGAATTTCCATAGTTTGTGTACATTCAAAAAATTTCCTTTTCAAATGAAAATGTAATTGACAATTTTTTCTGTTGCATAAAATTATAAGAATTTAGTAAGTATTTATTTAACATAGCTTTAATACTGAATTTTGCACGCAAAACCCTCTTCTGTACTGTTCGCCTTAGCTAAGAATTATTTAATCACGCTCAGGTAATCAAAGTCAATCCATGCGAGTTTGCTTCCTGGATATTACATGATAAAGTCTCTGGTAGGGGTCCGCAATATCAAAGAAATTCGCGCTTTTCTTCGCGAAGGAGAGAGAAAGTGCTAGGTAGGAACGTAATACTCATGCCTGTGCTTCAGCCCAGACACTCTTAACCCGCCGTTCACTCCATTTACTTTACAGCGAATTATTAGTCATGTTTAAGTTCAGTCACTTTTTGACAATTAATTTTATACACTATGTCCTCGCCAACAGTGTCGCCACCCCCGACAAAGTTCCTGCCGTAGAATCGTTTACCACCACAGAATCGAATTACATACCCCAAACGTATTCTAGTGATAGTGATGTTAATCGGACAGATGTGTTGTTCACCAGTTTATCCCAAGTGTTGAATTTTTACGGCACGGACATACTGGTGACGCAATGGCCGATATTTAAGGCGGAAATATCCCCGTCGTGTAGGAAACATCTAGAATTGTACTTGGAGGGTCTAAAAAAAGCGGATCAATGGGCGCTCAAAAGTGAGTAACATAATAACGTTTAAACATTTTTTGTTAAATTTTATACTTAAAATTATACTCAAATTATAAAATAATTGGGTTTAAAAAGTAAGATGTTCTTCTACGTCTGTAGAAGAACATCTTACAAAGAAACCTTACCATTTTAGTGTTTATGTAAATGAATTATTTACCGAAGAGACCTAAGATTGTGAGTTGAAGTAGTAAGTACAGAAATTTATCACTAAAAGTAAAAATGCATATCATACAAAAAAAAGTAGCAAATTTATCGCACTTAAAAAATTTACATTTATCTCTATGTTGACAAATATTTATGGTATGAAAAATGGTATGTTATCTAAAAATAAAAGTACTTTTAATACGTACGTACAATGTTTTTCCAGCAAATCCTAGTAAAGGACCGGAAAAATAATAAATGAAAAATGTGATTAAATGAAAATTACATTCGCAAAGTTTATGACCTCGTGGTCCGTGACATGATAACCATTTGCTTGTTTTTCAATGCATAGCAACCGTTGTTTATTTTTATTAGTTGCCAAAATATTGGTCACATTTTTCCGGAAGCAGGACATTATACTCAACTTTACGTGTGCAGTGAGCAGACTTCGCATGTCACCTTTGCTTAATAGGATCCTGTTATTATTGTCATAAGTTTCTAATGGAACATTTACAAAAAAACTTCTTAATGACGAAAATAAATGAAGCACAAGTAGCTCTACTTTCGATTTACTATCAAAAAAGTCTTAACACAAGTACGACAAATTTGTAATATGTAATGTGTATATATTTTGTTATAGCTGTAGTACAATTGACTTTAGAATTTCGTATTGATGGTATCATTATTTTAGTTGAAAATATAAAAAACAGAACAAAAAAATATAAATCTCACTTAGAATTATTCTGGAAGGAGGCAACACAAGCGCTCTAATTCAAACAGTTTTCGAAGTAAAATGAACTTTGATAGATATAAAATGAACTTTGATAGACTCAAAATTTATAACATTTTTATGGTCGACATGTGCTGATAACAAACTGAATGTTTTGTTAGTTGCTAATTGCAACCTAAAAAACTTTACTGTAGCTGTTCTTATCAGTAAATACAAAGGCAGCGTGTTTTAACATCGAATTTATACGACGTAAATTTAATATACCAGATTCCAGCAGCTGATTTGACGCCTACTCTTCTATAAATATTCACAATTTTATTTTCATTTTCATTGGACTTTTTCAATGTATATAAGTTTTTTCCAAAGTAGGACCTTATTCAGTAGTATCAATTGTTATTTTTTAAGTCTTCGCTTATCTGGAAAGGCAAAATGGCAATTTTTGTCATTTTTATTAAATAACTAGGCGAGCACCCGTTTAGGTTAATTTCAGCTCTCCATGGTTTTGGTACATTGGTACAAGGTTTTGACCCTTTTAATTTTCAGAGTTTAGGCATTTCCTTTTTTTCATCGGACACCATTGTGGATTCCATTTTTTTTAATACCTCTTACAGACGCCACAGGTATATAACAGGAATTTAAATTTTATCAAAGAGTGGATGTTAATGCTCAGACAATATTATTGTTATTATAATTCAGATACACGCTTTATCACGTTTATTAATGATATACCATTTAAAACTAAAAAATAGAAGATATGGAAAAACTTATTGACATTTAATATTACCAAATAATAATATAATACGTTAATAATGTTCTATAAAAAATAGCAACCCAGCTTAGAATTCAATATAAACGATTAATTTTGATTAGAAACTGTCGTTTTCGCAATGCAGTTTCTAGTTAATCATAAGTCGCCATCGAAATCTTAAATTCATACAGTGCAATTCAAAACACATTTCTAAACTTTTCTGTACCTTGAATACATTATATTTGTCGTTGATGGATCGGGATCGAACTTGCTGACGTTTCTTCATTGAAACTGGTTCAGTTAACTTTTTAAGGAAGCCAACAGGATACTTGGCAAAACATCAGAAAGTTCGATTTATTAACAACCGACTCAGAAGGAATCCAGAAGAATTGTAAATAATATTACCAAATAATAATATAATACGTTAATAATGTTCTATAAAAAATAGCAACCCAGCTTAGAATTCAATATAAATGATTAATTTTGATTAGAAACTGTCGTTTTCGCAATGCAGTTTCTAGTTAAAACATAAATCATTTTAGCAGTTAACATTTGCAGTACGACTAGATATATGCAGAAATAAAATCCTAATACCTAATAATTTTCTACCGATTGAAAATATTCGGCAAATGTGGGACACGAAACAGTCGCCCAATATTCCAATTTTGACATATGCAAAAAAAAAATATATATATATATATATATATATATATATATATATATATATATATATATATATATATTCTCACGTATTGATTCACGGATGGAAAAATGTGATGACACATATATATATATATATATATATATATATATATATATATATATATATATATATATATATATATATATATATATATATATATATATATATAATTTCTTTCTTTTCTATTTCGCCGAGGCATTAGCAAATTTGTATGCTAACATGGCGTTGCAATATTTTTTTTTCTTTCTTTCGTTTTTAATATATCTGAGTTTGGATATAGGAAAGAGAATTTGTTTCAAGCAAATCCAATTGACTTCACCTTTACTTTGAGAGGCATTCTAACCGGGTTTAAATCTTGACTAGCCTCATTTTCGGATTCTTAATTTAACCTAAATAACTGATTACTATATATATATATATATATATATATATATATATATATATATATATATATATATATATATATATATATATATATATATATATATATATATATATATATTCTCACGTATTGATTCACGAATGGAAAAATGTGATGACACTATATTCCGGGATATCATCCGTTCGCTCGTTGAACTCCGACTGGAATCCTGCAAATCCTGCATCCGACTGGAATCCTGCAGACGTTTCGCCAAAATCTCACTTGGCATCTTCAATGCTCGCTCTCCGAAAACACTTCGAACACTGTGAAGTGTTTTCGGAGCGCGAGCATTGAAGATGCCAAGTGAGATTTTGGCGAAACGTCTGCAGGATTCCAGTCGGATGCAGGATTTGCAGGATTCTAGTCGGATGCAGGATCCCAGTCGGAGTTCAACGAGCGAACGGATGATATCCCGGAATATAGTGTCATCATATATATATGTATATATATATATATATATATATATATATATATATATATATATATATATATATATATATATATATATATATATATATATATATATATATATATATATATATATATATATATATATTTGCATATGTCAAAATTGGAATATTGGGCGACTGTTTCGTGTCCCACATGTGCCGAATATTTTCAATCGGTAGAAAATTATTAGGTATTAGGATTTTATTTCTGCATATATCTAGTCGTACTGCAAATGTTAACTGCTAAAATGTTTTATTCTTATCCAACCGAAGAACCTTACACAAAATACTTAATACTCACCTTGATTTATATACATTACCTTCTTCTTAATGACATAATATTAGGAAATTAGAAAAAAAATACAGAACGTTAAGGATATGAATGAAAACCTCCCGTCTCTGTGATTTTTAAACAATATTCTTAAGTCTAGGTGTAAGATAGTGACCACAATGTTAATTTATATTAATGTAGAACAGTGGTTCCTAAACTTTTTCCTTATGTAACCACTTTCAGAAATGAACTGGTTCCGGTGGACCCCTTGCAGCTTCCATATTCCATTATAAAACTATTTTTTGTGACGTAAACGTAGTCCTCCATCGAGTTTCTCATGAGCCTCTGCGGTCCACCGGGAAACCACTGATCTAGACGATTTTTTTTTTAAATCTGATAACCCGCAATTAGATTAGCTTTCGCTCCTAAAGCAATCTTTGTTTGTATGACCTTGAGCAAAGCCAAAATATCATGTCTCACCTTTTTTTATAAATTTTAAAAATTTTCGGACAATTATAAAATTCCTAATTTTTTTAGCACAGTGACAATGTTTTTGCCACCGATACAATTCCAAAGACCGACGAATTAAAAAAGTAGATTTTTGAAAGATTTTCAACAATTTTACATAATATTAAACCATAATTAATTATTACCATTCTTGTAAGTGCAAAACAATTTTCAAAACTTGAACTTGGTTAAAGAAAAAATCCTTAATTGAGATTCCTGTCTGTGTAATATAACATAGACATCTATAATGAACTATAATTTAAACTAATCGAAGCAAAGGAAGTATGAAAGGTACATCATATATTTTGTTAAAAATTACACAAACAATAATCGTATTGCCTCTAATTGAAGAAATTTGGCTCCCACGATTCAAAAAGCAAACATTTCCATCCGCCAAGCCAAACAATTCAAAATTTCACTGCTGTAATTAGTACGTACATTCTAACAACGTGCTTTCCTTTCAGGGCCCGGACATTATTTTCTAAAATGTGTTATAATAAATACCACGCGTAATAATTTCGTAAGCTTTCTTTTCGCTGTTAACCGCCGATGTGCGCAATTGAACTATTTCTTTTTTAATGATTCAACAAAAATATCTCAGTTGAGATTTAATCTTAGATCTAAAATAAGAAATGTAGTAAGATGTGTTACTTCTAGCTTGAATTTGTGTCTAAATAGCAAATTTACAGATGACACTATGAAATTATAACATTAAATTTTATTGACATTGAAAATGTTGAATAAATGTACTTTCTGGAAATTTATCTATTTATTCTTTGTTAAGGTTTTTTAAATTTAAGCCTGTATCGACGCGGAAAGTAAATCATACCTTGCTTGTTTAATCGCAACTGACTATATGCCGTTCTCGTTCCTTTTTGTCGATTGTCTTAAAAAAAAATGCGCACAGCGTCGCAAAAAATAGCCTGGCTGAACCAAGCTACAGTTCAGGCAAATTTTTAATAAAAAAAAACTAATTAATACTCACAATTTGCCCGAAAAATACTTCTCTAAAAATATAAGATCGAACAAACGCTCTATATCCTTATACCATACTTAATCTGTATTCCTGTAATTAATTGAAGATTTGTTTGGCTGATTGCAGTAGATTAAGGCAGTGAGGTTTATTGTTTTAAAATGTTTTTTTTTTGTTTTTTATAGTTGGCGCTTTAACCCAATACGTTTCCTATATAATTATCCCTACGATGAAATGAAAAATATCGCAA